CCCCCCCCCCCCCGAAGTCATTCACTTGTGAATGATGTTGTTGGGGATAATGTGAGGAGTGCATAAACAAGGAGAATGCGGATAAGCCATAGAAGTAGAAGGAAGAAATAAAATCTGTAACTTGAATGCATACATAGCCATAACTAATAACGAAGTATGCGATAGGGGTCATACTGGGGATGCCTAAAATAGAATGTGACTAGAGCGATTGTGGTCATAGCCATGGTAAAAATAATGACCGAAGTCAATGTGGCCGTAGCCATAGTAAGAGATGATGACCGGAGTCATGGTGGCCAGAGCCGTAATAAAAAGTGATGACCGGAGTCACAATGTAACCAGAGCCGTGATAAGAAATGATGACCGGAGTCATAGTGGCTGGAGCCGCGATAAACTATAAAGACTGGAGTCATAATGGTCGGAGCCATAATAAAATATAATGACCTGAGTCATATGGCCGGAGCCGAAGCGCAACATGTGACATTGGGTCACTGTGGCGTTAGCCGAAGTGAAACGTGTGACAGTAGGTCACTATGGCCGAAGTCGATGTGAAATGTAATGCAGGATTATTGTGGCCGGAGCTGAAGTGAAACACTTGCAAAAATTGAGAATGTGTAAAAGTGAGCGAGGGTGTTGAAATGGGCTTAAGTGGGCCCGTCTGAGAAGTCTGACAAAGGGGTAGTACGTGGTGTGACAGTTGTCCTTTGAATGACGTGCGCAATAAATGCGACCGTAAAAAGATAACTACAACAGTTAAACGGGCAGATTTAAAAAACGAATTGTCGAGTTCAAAACGGTGCCGTTTGGGTTTGGCCGTCGAATTCCAAACGGTGTAAATAGGAACTGTAAGATTAAACAAATCCCAGCCGTTGAGATCTAATTTTGCCTAGAGGTATAAATAGGCATTTTTTCTGCAGAAAGAAGTTTACTTGCATTTCATTTTCTGCAAAATTTCTACAAAAAGCTTTACTGTGTGCTTCCTGCGCGTGAACTGCTGCATCATTTGGGGATTTCTACATCAAGCTTTCGAAACCGAAATCAGGTAATGTATACGAACCTTTGATTTTGGTTTAGTCGAAGTGTCACTCTCCTTTCTCCTTTTCTGTGGTTGATTTAGAGTCATCTGAAGGAAGTTAGGGTTAGAAGTGAGAATGATTTTGAATGTGCATTAGAGGGGTTTTTTTTTTTTTTTATTTTTTTAAAGGGTCCTGACTTCATTCCTCCCCCCTATTTCGTGCAGAGATTGAGAAAATGTCTTAAGAAGAAACAGTAAGTGTAGGAGGGAGTGAGGTGATGCCCTTGGATTATGGGAGCATGGACTCGGAGAGTAGTCCGTCTCCATCTAGTTCGAAGAAACGGTGGAGGGGGTGAAAGGAGATGAGGTGGTGGGGGTTGGGGGGAATGAGATGGTGGGGGTTGAGGGGGATAGTGTGCCTATCACTGTGGTAGAAGTACAGGGTAGGATAGAGAGAGGTTATGATGCAGATGCAGACATAGTGGAAGAGGTGAAGCAGTACAAATCTAAACTCAGGGCCAGGGATAACTTGGGTCATTTAGTGGAGAATTACGAGATCTCTTCCCGAGTGTTAGTTAGGCCAGCTGGGGTAGAGGAGAGAGCGTGTTCTACTCCTCAAGATCATTGGATGCCCGTATATGCCCATTATTTGTTTGTCGGGCTTAGGTTTCCAATTCCTGAGTTGCTAGTAGGTTTGCTATTAGATTATGGTATAGAGTTGACACAATTAGTCCCCAATGCTATGAGGGTAATAATAGGATTTTTAGTTTATTACCGAGCTCAGGGGATTAGTGTGCCAACCGTAAATATGTTTAAATGTTTTTTTGTTTTAAAGGGGGGTAGTAGGAAGGATAAGGGGTGGTATTATTTCACCCCTAGGGTAGCTAATAGGGAGAGTAGGGCTTTATTTATGGCGGGTCCTTCATCCATTAAAGGATGGAAGGAAAAATTCTTTTTTGTAGATGATATGGAGTGGGAGAGGGGGGATACCGAGGTGAGGGAGTTAACATCCTGGAAGGCTAAAAGAGCCAACCAGAATAAATTTAGCTTAAATGAGGATGAGGAGGAAGAAGTGGGGAAGTTGGTGAGGAAGGGGGGGGGGATTTACTGAACATCATGGACCTCACTAGCGCACAATGCATAGAAGCTGCTGAGCTCTATGGGCCAAGCGCTTTAAGTAAAGGTTTGTTTAATTTGCATTGTAGTACTGAATGTAGAATATAGAACTGTGTGATTGATATTGTGTGTTTCTTGTTTTGCAGTTGAAATGGACAAATTTTTGGGCGCTGCAGGAGGAGCGGCCATCCTTAAGAAGACAAGGAAAAAGTCAAGGACTTCAACCAAACAAGTGGATGAAGGAGGAGTTGGAAAGGAGGTAGTGCCCAGCATTGTAGCCGGAGTGGAGGAGGAGGAGCCAGAGCTGCAGTTGAGGAGAAAAAGTAGGGAGGAGAGGGGGGCACCATAAAAAAGGAGGAAGGTGGTGAAGGGGGAGGAGAGGGGGAGTGAGGTTCCCCAGTTCGTACCTAGGCCTCCTCTTGTTGAGCTTGATCCTGAGCTTAGGGAATTTGAGGAGGGGGCTGAAGTACGAGCCCCTGGCAAGGGAAAGGGCCTTGTTCCCCCTCTATCTTTTCAGAGCAGCCTGTTTGAGGCGAAGAACATGACGGGGGCTAGGAGGTTTATCAACACCACCTTCCCCGAAGTGGACAAGCATCAAGCACGGGACGAGGTTCTCAGGTACTGTGGAGCTTCAGTGTAAAGCACGTTTTAGAGGTATGTTAAGTTATTTGTATTTATTGGTTATTGGTGTTGTTTGTTTAATCTCTTTCTTCTCCTCTTCTTTTTCTCTTAACTTCTGCTTTGAATTGTAGAGCGCGAGCTGGGTGAATGGTCTAACCTAGGAGTTCATGGATAGCGTGAAGGAGTGCTCCCTCTTACAGAGGCAGTGTGACCAGCTGCAGAAAGAGAAGGAGGAGCTGGAGAAGAAGAATAAAGACCTGCAAGAGGCGTTGAATGAGGTGGTTCCCATTGTGAAACAACTGGAGCAGGAGAGGGCTTCCCTGAGCACCAAATTCGCTGTTGAGGAGAGCAAACGAAGGATCTTTGAAAGTGAGTGTGAGGCTCAAGCGAAGGAAATAACACTGATGAAGGAAGCGTACACGGAGCTAAAGAAGAATGTGCAGCTGCTAGTGCACAATGGGATGGAGGAGCACATTAGTAACTTCATCAGCTCCAGCTCGTTTAACAATATTGTCAACCTCTACCGGCTGCCAACTACCATCATCGCTTTCATAGACTGTAGAAAGAAGGTGAAAGCTGAATATCCCGAGGTGGATATTACAAAGATCACCTTCGACGAGCAAGAAGAATGAGTGGAGGAGAATGGGGAGAGCATGTCAGCAAACTTCCGTCCTCAGATCAACCTGAGATGGGAACATGATGTAGACGGGCGCACTGTTTTCCCTCCAAATTTCGACTTCGAGTTCGTTGCAGTGGAGGAAGAAGAGGTAGAGGTAAAGAAAGATGAGGTGGAGGCAAGAGTGGAAGGGACTGAAGTGGGTGAGAGCCAACCAACTCCAGAAGTGGAGATTCATCCAGTCCCTTCTGATGATGAGCAACCTCCTCTACCAGACGAGTAGCAGCTAACACAGCCACCTCTTCCAGCTGAGCAGGAGCCAGTTGAGCCACCTCCCTCAACAGAGAAATAATTTTTGTTTTTTAATTTTTGTAAAAACATTTAAACAATTTGTAATACTGTTATTATTTTGAATGAAATTTCTGTGTTGAAATCATATGTTGTGTTTGCTTTATAATTTTGTTATTTTATAATAATAGAAGAACTGAGACTACTTTATAAAGGAAAGTTAATCATTTCAAAGATAAAAAGAAGTCAATCACTTCGGAAATGAACTAAAGAGAAGTAAACCACTTCAAATGAATTAAGAACAAGTACATCACTGTAAATGAATTGAAAAGAGACAAAGCACTTCATATGTGAAGTGACATTTATTAACAGAAGTGAGGTTCAAGGAATGAATGAACTAATTGACCTCGGATACATAGAATAAGAGGTAAAATGAATCTCAATAATCACGAAGTAAGAAGTGTAAATAACAGTAAGACATAGATCACTTGAAAGAATTTTATTAGGGGTAAAATTTCTTCAAGTTATTGACATTCCAGACTCTAGGAATTCTCTTTCCTTCAACGTCTTGGAGGACATAGGCATTAGGATGTGGCACCTCAGCCATGGTATAAGGGCCTTCCCAATTTGAGGCGAGTTTGCCAAAATGAGTTTCAAACCCTGTTAGGCCAACTTTTCTGAGAACAAGGTCTCCTACTTTGAATGTGCGAGGGCAGACTCGTTTATTGTAGAAGTTGGCTAGTTTCTGCTTGTATACAAGAGTTCGAAGCCGTGCTTCTTCTCTGACTTCGGCAAGCAGATCAAGGTTTTCTCGAAGCAACTGTCCATTTCGTCGTTCATCGAAATGGGTGACTCGGAAGCTTGGGACTCCTATTTCAATAGGAATGACTACTTTGGTACCAAAGACGAGATGATAGGGTGTTTCACCTATTTCAGTTAATTATAACTTTAGAATGCGCTTTATGCATTATGCATATTTGCTCTAAGGTAAAGCCGTAACAGGAGAAGTAAAATAATATAAAAATTAATCAAATAGACCAGGTTTGAAGTAATACCTGTGGCAGTTCGGCTCGTGGTTCTGTATGCCCAGAGGATGTTATTGAGCTCGTCTGCCCATTTGGCCTTATGCTATTCCAATCTCAGTTTTATTCCTTCTAAAATGCATTTGTTAACAGATTCACCCATGCTATTGGACTTCGGATGGTAAACGGAGGTGAATGGCAATTTGATCCCATAACTAGAACAAAAATCTTGGAATGAGGAGCAATTGAACTGAGTTCCATTATCAGCCACAATTTGGTTTAGGATCCCATATCTGCAGATGATCGAGCTGAAAATAAAGTCTTCGACCTTCTTGGAGGTAAGACTAGATAATGGCTGAGCTTCAACCCACTTTGTGAAATAATCCACACCAACAATCAGATGGGTTACACCACCAACGCCTTTCACGAATGGGCCTAAAAGATCCAGTCCCCACTGAGCAAATGGCCACGGTGCTACCAAGTTCGTGAGCTCTTCTGCTCGTTGGTGAGTCAAATGTGCAAAGAATTGACATTTCGGGCATTTTTGAACAAAGTGAGTGGCATCTTTGTACATGTTTGGCCAGTAATATCCCTACCTTAAGACTTTGTAAGCCAGAGTTCTAGCATCAACGTGGCTCCCGCAGACACCTTCATGTACCTCTCGAAGTGCATACTCAGCTTCATAAGGGTTTAAACACCGTAGAAGAGGGAGTGAGAAAGATCTCTTATAGAGGGCCCCATCAACGAGTGTATACCGAGATGCTTTCTTCCTCAACTTCATTGCCTCCTGCCTGTCCTCAGGTACTATTCCATCTCGCAAAAAGGAGATAATTGAGTCAGTCCAACTCGGCGTGTCAGGGTCTGTGCTAATCTCCATCATCCGTGGCTTCATAAAGCTTGGTTCATCTAAGACCTCCACAAAAACTGATCTGGAACTTAAAGAGCTATCAGAGGCAAATTTAGAGAGTGAATTTGCTTGTTCATTCTCAGTTCGGTGAATTTTGCTCAGACAGAATTTTTGGAATTTGCATTTCAGCTCGGCCACCAATGCTACATATTTCACCATCACAGGATCAACAACTTCACAGATTGAGTTGATTTGGTTCACCACCAGTTAGGAGTCATTGTATACTTGAATCGCACTGATTTTCAACTCCAATACTAGCTGTAGACCGAGTAGCAGAGCTTCATACTCAGCCATGTTGTTTGTTGCATCAAAGTTGAATTTCAGGGCATGTTCGCTTTGGTATCCATCTGGACCAATCAAAAGAGCGCAAGCTCCTGAACCCTTGCTATTAGATGCCCCGTCAACATATAAGGTCCAGTCGTTGGGCTCTGGATTAGGGGTTGAAGGATATGGAGTGCATTCGACAATAAAATCTGCTAGTGCTTGAGCTCGGATTGCCGATCTCTGCTGAAATGTTATCTCAAATTCCCCCAGTTCTACTGCCCACTTAATTAATCTTCCAGAGCACTCTGGTTTTTACAGAATCTGTTGGAGAGGTTGATCTGTGAGGACGATAATTGGGTGTGACTGGAAATATGGTCTTAGCTTCCTGGCCGAAGTGACAACTGCTAATGTTGCTTTCTCAGCTATAGGATACTTCAGCTCTACTCCGTGCAGTACACTGCTAATATAATAGATTGGTTTCTATTGTTTGGCTTCTTCTCTCACTAGAACCGAACTAATGGCTTCATTTGAAATTCCCAGATACAAATAAAGAATCTCTCCATGTACAGCCTTAGTCAGTAGAGGTGGCGAGGTAAGATAAGACTTCAGCTCGTCGAATGCGGCTTGCCATTCCTGGTTCCATTCAAATTTCTTTTGTTTTCCTGATTCATCCTTCTGAGCGGCTGACCTCATAATCTTGAAAAATGGCAGGTACTTATCTACTGACTTCGTTATGAACCGATGAAGAGCTGCCACCCTTCTAGTCAACCTCTGTATATCTTTTACTAATTTCGGTGGTTCCATCTCGGCAATTGCTCTGATCTTTTCTGGATTGACCTTAATCCCTCTTCAGGACATCATGAAACCTAGAAACTTTCCAGACTCCACGCTGAAGATGCATTTGGCTGGGTTTAATCGCATTCTGTTCTTTCTAAGGTTGTTGAAAGTTTCGTCGAGATCAGCTAGATGGTCTTCTGCTTTCTGCTTTCAATCTCTTTACCACAATGTCATCGACATAAACCTCCAAATTCCTGCCGATCTGAGCTCGGAAGAAGATGGTCACCATTTTTTGATAAGTAGCACCTGCGTTCTTTAAGCCAAACGGCATCATGACATAACAATAAATTTCATAGCCAGCATAGAACGAGGTTTTCTCTTCGTCTTCTGGAGCCATCGGCACCTGGTGATACCCGGAATATGCATCCAAGAGACTTAATCTCTCATTGCCTGAAGCCGCTTCAACCAATTTGTCAATGCTCGGCATCGATAACAATCCTTGGGGCAGGCTTGGTTAAGATTTGTGTAATCGATGCATATTCACCATGTACCGTTTGCCTTTTTCACCAAGACTGGGTTAGCCACCCATTCGCAGTAATCAACTTTTCTGACGAAACCAATTTGTAAAAGTTTCTCTACCTCTTCTTTTATAGCCTGAAGCCTCTCCCCCCCAAAGAGACGTCGCTTTTGGGCCACTGGTTTCTTCAACGGATTGGTGCTGAGCTTATGTTGGGATACTGAGGGTGGAATTCCTGGCATGTTTTCCGAGGTCCACATGAAGACATCATTGTTAGGTCGAAGAAAAGCTATTAGCTCTGCTCTTTCCTCCGAGTTCAATCTAGTTCCAATTTGCGTCTTTCGACTCAGATCTCTTTAATCAATGAGCACTTCTTCAACATCTTCGACTGGAGCAGCTCTAGGTTCATCTTCTGGTCGGTTATCTACTATTTCAACACCCATGACTTGTTGATTATCAGGAATCCGTTGGGGAATGGCCTCGGGTGTGTGATCTTTGCCCTTCTTAGGTTGTGTGACCGAGGTGATATAGTAATGTCTAGCCATCTCCTGGTTACCCCGCAGTATTGCTATTGCCATAGGGGTTGGGAATTTCATGCATAGGTGAGACTGGGAAACTACAGCTCGGATTTTAGTCAGTGTGGGTCGGCCAATGACAACATTGAAAGAGGACGCCATCTTGACTACTAAGAACTGGACTGAAGGAGTCACATAGGTTCAGCCACTCCCGAAAGCAACAAGGAGGTTAAGAACTCCTTCTACCTGAACAGGCTGGTTATTGAAACCATAAATGGGACCATCGTATCTCTGCAACAATGCTGGATCCAATCCAAGACTCTCAAAACAGTGGAAGTATATGATATCTGGTGCACTCCTGGTGTCAACAAGGATACGTTGTACTTCACGGTTGTTAATCATGACAGAAGTAACCAACGGATCATTGTGGGGTGTAACAACTGTGTCAAAGTCAGCAGATGTGAAAGTAATGGGTTGATTCTTCCAGTCAGCGTCGTCAAACTTCCTTTTCTGAGCTCGGTTTTGATGCTTAACCTTTCTGACATACAGCTTTCACTGTTTAGAGCTCAGTCCACTTGCTTCCAAGCCTCCTGTAATCATGTGTATGATTCTAACTGGTGGTGGGAGTGGAGGTGGGGTTTGCTAATATCCCACACCTTGCCTTTTTGGGGGATTACGGACTCTGATGCACTAAAATCACCCTAGCAAGTGTACTATTCACTCTAAGTAATATAATGATGAGAAGAGTGTCGAACCCACGAGGATTGTGTCTAACTAAGTACTAAAATAATTAATCCAAATTTATTTGAACAACCAAATGGGAAGAAAGTTTAACTAAAAAAATAATAAAAGGAAAATAACAATTAAATTAAACCTAACCAAGATATGAGATACTAAGGCATTGACTTCACCATAATCAATCAATATGAATTCTGGATTACCAAATTGTTGAGTGTTATTGCATGTGATGGCAGATTTCCCTAAATTAATTAACTAGCTTTCTCAAGTCAAGTTAATCCTTCACTTATTTGTTAAATTAATCATATCTCTATGTACTTTTAAACAAACTAATGAGCATTAGATTCTATGGAAACCTCTAGCTTAAGAAGGGGGAGTTATTAACTCTCTTCTCTTCCTTCACTACCACATGCGAGCTAATTACCTCTCGGACTCATAGTCTAGCACACGGTTTATATTATTATTGGTCTAATCCATGCAATTCTTTCTCAAGTTCATGCATAAATCACTAAATCAATCGAAAGGTGATCAGGCTTCCAATGCATTAAGTTCAATAATATAAACTCCTCATACAAATAATTTTAATTGAAAACATAAAATCACAAAATCTATATTGAATTGATTAGACTACATCGTAGCCCTAATAGAATAAATCAATTCATAATAAAAATAATAAAATCTGAAATCACAATTATGAGCATAAGAATGTCTAAGGAAAAACAAAACTTAATTTGAGGTAATTAAAATCCTTAATCTTCTCGTTAATAGATCTTCTATCTTGACCTCCTAGAGTGCCCAAAAGAGGACTGCCACTAGCCTCTCAAAGCCCTCTCTAATTCTGAATTTGGATGGGTATTTATAGGATTTTAGAAACCTTAATTGAAATAGAAGTAGGACTTGGAACAGAAATAGGAAATTGAATTTTAGATGCTAATCACGTGGTGCTGACACTTCAAATTACGTGTTGACACGAATTAGGAAACAAAATTTGGACGTTTAACGCATGGTGTCGACACCCCGATCATGTGTCGACACTACACCCGTGTCGGGTTTCTGGTTTCCTTTTGCAATTTCTTCAATGGTAAAATAGCAGATTTGGTTCCTGACTTTTTGATTTTGCACAAGTTGATCCTCAAGTCTTTGATCTCTTCAATTTACTTCTAAAAAATAGGATTTTTTTCAATTAAATCCTTTCCTACACAAAGAATGAAAACCATGTAAAATCAAACAAAATCTCATAAAACTCATCCAAATGTCAATAATATCAAAGTAAAAATTCTCTATTAATATGTATATAAATTTAGCTCATCAAATTCTCCCAAACTTAAGTTTTACTCATCCTCGAGTAAAATAAAAACATAAAAGAAATAAAAATAAAACCTAACTCACTTTCGTAGGAATCACGATTGCACTTAGCATGTGCAACAAGCCTTTAAACCCTTAGGTCACCCTAGTGGATGAGTTGTGTCTCGTGAGGGTTTGCAGCGGATTTACCCACAAAATCCCAATGCAAAAAATGCAACTATATGATATGTATGCAAAGAAAATTTAGGAATTAAAGTTCAATTAGAGGCAAAGTCTCAAATATTCAAAAGTTCTCATATGCTCACTTAAAGTAAAATACTCCATCTTATTCTTCACACCACTTGTTAAAAGATTTAGCCCATGAGCACTTAGTGTGTGTGGAAATTCATAATAAGAAGTCTCAAGTTTAGACCTTCACACCTTAGCACTTATTATTATTATATGTTCTTCTCTTTTTTCTTTTTTCTTTTTTTCATAGGTCGAGTTTCCTTAGGCTTTCTAAGTTACCCATGTAACGAGCTTTTTGTCAATGACTCCCAAACCAGTTGGCTTTAGGGCATTAGGTGAAGAGACACCCCTAAGAACATACTTACTCAAGTAACAAAGGCCACAAAACATTCGACTTCTCTTCTTTTCTTTTTTTTTTTTTTCCTCAGCCATACAACACAATCTTCCCTAAGTTATCACTTGTCTTTTGATGCGAATACTAACATTTGTGATGAAAGCACCCGGTTATTCAACAAGTCATAAACTCAAAGTGCTTTGCATACTCATATTTCAAGTCACTGTTTGACGTGAAAATTGACATGGGTTTCATGCCTAACCCCCAGTTACTAAGCAACTAGAAACATTGGAGTAGAAATTACTAAACTCTTTTGTGTGTTGGCTTTCTTTTCTTT